TTTCCAAAACACTATAATTAAGTACATTTTATTAAGTACTTTTTGAGTTATAAGGCTTGAAATAATTTCTTAATTTTACATAAACCATAAAATATCTAGTAAACCATTCATTTTTCGATTATCTTACCTTCATACTTTTATGTACAAAATAATAAGAGGAATCAATTGGTGTAAAGAAAACATACAGTTGTTTTTAAGAAAAAATATGGAATTGTTAATTGCAAATTACATATTTTTTCTTAGAAACAACTATGTGTTTTCTTTACACCAATTGATTCCTCTCATTATTTTGTACATAAAAGTATGAAGGTAAGATAACCGAAAAATGAATGGTTTACTAGATATTTTATGGTTTATGTAAAAATAGGCGGTTAAAAAAATTAAGGTGACATTCACGTGACCTTCAAATGACTCTTCAAGGTCAAACCAATGGTATCTTATGGCCCCCTCGAAATCAAACAACTTTTGTCTGAAACATTTTTTTCTAAAATGCACTGTTTGTGAGATATTTAGGTGTATCCAGACTTTTGGCGCACCCTGTATATAAATGAATATTTAATTTGTAATTATATGTAAATATATATTATTTACTTCGATCTGGAAGCCATTTATACGATTTAGAATTTACGTAAAATTTTTTGCTATATTTTTAAACTATATTTTTAAACTATATACATTATATACAAAATGCTTTAGAAATTAAAAGAGTCTTAACTTATTTAGTAACGTTTAGTAACGTTTAGAAATTAATAGCATATAATTTATTACTCTAGTACTTAACTTATTGTATTGCTCACATATTGGTTTTTAAAATTTGTTATTTCTATCATCTTTCTATCATATTTTTCTATTATCTTTTTAGATTTTTAGATTTTTAAAGACATTCGTTTATACTTGATGTATTTCTTTTTGAGTTTTGTTTAATGGGATATAATTTATATATAATATTACAATTTTTTTATAATAAATAATAATATATAATCATAACAATTAATTATATTTTTTGATTCTTAAATGCAAGAATTAATTTCTTTGAAATTAACTTTATTTGTTTATATATGCATATTTTATATATATATATAAGTATATATATATATATATATATATATATATATATATATAGTTTATATATATATTTTATATTTATTTGTAGATTTATTTTTAACATTATTTTATTTGTATATTTATTTTTAACATTGTGAATTATTGAAAATTCTGTATATGTACAAATATTTCCATTCAAGACTAGTGATGTCTAAATTTTATTTACAATTAGTCTTGTAAAGATATACAAGTCAATTTCATGCTTTTTATTCGAAAAAATGAAAAATTTTATATGTTTTACTGAATCGCTAGTTTATGTACACAATTATTTTAACGTTTTGAAAGTTGTTTGCAAGAAGCATCGATTATTGCAACTATATTTAGCGTCTCGTATTGATTTTTCATATCGTGTAGATTTTAATTTTTTTTAACATGCACTTAAAGTTTTATCGATCAACAACTAACGACCATTTTCAAATTCAATTTGTCTAATGAAACATGTAAACTCATTTTCTTGGTATATGCATTATGTAGATTAAACTCGTTCAGATCGCGACGATGATCAAAGCAGATCACAACAATTGTTTTCGCACTGCCTTTATTTTTAATACGCATAAAACAATTAATGAGTTAATATTTGTTCATACTCTTATATTTTACACACACACACATACAATAGAGGTATAAATCCAACGTGCAATCACCACGCAATACTTTTTGGGTAATGCTAATGCTCGGCACTATAATTTTTAAATCTTAAAAAGTACTAGATTAAATAATTGCCACTATCTTATGTCTCCTTTGAAACCATATTCTTGCTTAACATTTTTTTTCTAAAATCCTATGATATCGTGATATTGGTAAAAAACAAAATGGCACATTCTATATATATATATATATATATATATATATATATATATATGTGTGTGTGTGTGTACAGAGTGTCAGGAAATTTTTAATCTTTCGAAGTAAGGAGGTAAATTGGCTCAAATTAAGAAGGAAGGACTTCTATTGTTTTATGATTGTCGCAATAATTAAGGAAAAATTAAATAAAGAATATCGACCAATGCGGCTAGAAGCACACGGTGAAGGCGGTTTGACTGTAACATAATGGCGGCGCGCGGTGAAGCGGTAATTGGGGAGGGGAGGAGCCTTCGCCACGCGCTTACATACTCTAACCACGCGCATTGGTCGATCTTCTTTATTTAATTTTTCGTTAATTATTGCGACAATCACAAAACAATAGAGGTCCTTCTTTCTTAATTTGAGCCTATCTATCTTCTTACTTCGTCAAGATCAAAAATTCCCTGACACACTGTATATATATATATATATATATATATATATATATATATACATATATATATATATGTATATATATACACAGGGTGGGCCATTTTAAGTGATCCATCCCAATAACTTTTTTATATTTGAATGTACAACAAAATGTTTCAAATAAAAGTTGCTTGACTTCGAGGGGGACAGAAGATGGGTGGCAAAAATTTGACCTTGGATAGTCATTTGAAGGTCACATAAAGATTATCTTCAATTTCTTAAATGGAACCCCCTATTTTTCATTACATATTCTTCTAGCTTATCTCGAGAGCTTTCCAAAACACTATAATTAAGTACCTTTTTATTAAGTACTTTTTGAGTTATAAGGCTTGAAATAATTTCTTAATTTTACATAAACCATAAAATATCTAGTAAACCATTCATTTTTCGATTATCTTACCTGATACTTTTATGTACAAAATAATGAGAGGAATCAATTGGTGTAAAGAAAACACATAGTTGTTTCTAAGAAAAAATATGTAATTTGCAATTAACAATTCCATATTTTTTCTTAAAAACAACTGTATGTTTTCTTTACACCAATTGATTCCTCTCATTATTTTGTATATAAAAGTATCAAGGTAAGATAATCGAAAAATGAATATTTTATAAGATATTTTACGGTTTATGTAAAATTAAAAAATGATTTCAAGCCTCATAACTTGGAAAGTACTTAATGAAAATTAACTTAATTATAGTGTTTTGGAAAGCTCTTGAGATGAGCTACAAGAATATGCAAAAGCATATAGGGTGTCCTATTTAAAAAGTTGGAGCTGACCTTCGCGTGTCCTTCAAGTGGCTCTTCAAGATCAAACTAATGACACCATCTTATGTCTCCCTTGAAATCATACAACTTTTGTCTAAAACATTTTTCTCTATCTTGCTTAGGTTCCGAGAAATTTAGGTGGTCGGATTAAAATGAAACACCCTATATATATATATATATATATATATATATATATGTATATATATATATATATATATATATATATACAGGGTATATGTATGTAGGGTATATATATATATATATATATATATATATATATATATATATATATACAGGGTAGACCATTAAAATAGACATTTTAATCAATACATGCGAGTATCTCAAAAACACTGCATTAAATCGAAAAATATTTGAGACAAAAGTTGTATGGCTTAAAGGGGGACATAAGATGGTGTTATTAATTTGACCTTGAAGAGTCATCTGAAGGTCACGTGAAGGTCACCTCCAACTTTTTAAATAAGACACCCTACATAGTTTTGCATATTTTCGTAGTTTGCCTCAAGAGCTTTCCAAAACACTGTAATAAAGTATTTTTTCATTGAGTACTTTTCCAGTTATAAGGCTTGAAATCATTTCTTAATTTAACATAAACTGTAAAATATCTTGAAAAATATTAATTTTTCAATTAAAAATATGTATACATTTATTTACAAAATTTAGAATTTAAAGAAAAGACATAGTTATTTTTAAGAAAAAATATGTAATTGTTAATTGCAAATTATATATTTTTTTTCGAAACAACTATATGTTTTCTTTACGCCAATTGATTCCTCTCATTATTTTGTACATAAAAGTATTAAGGTAAAATAATCGAAAAGTGAATATTTTACAAGATATTTTACGGTTTATGTAAAATTAAGAAATGATTTGAAGCATCATAACTCGATAAATGCTTGAGGGAAAAATATTTTATTATAGTGTTTTGGAAAGCTCTCGAGGTCAGCTATAAGAATATACAATCAAAAATAGGGGTTCCTATTTAAAAAAAACACTTTGACCTTCAAATAACCTTGAAGGTCAAGCTCAAGGTCAAATTGAAGGTCACCGTTGAATTCCTCATTGAAAATTACTTCAGAAATGACCTTGACCTTTTTCAAAAATACCTTACATGAGAAAATATTCAGCCGTCCCGGGACTTAATTGACACCCTGTATATATATATATATATTGTGACGTGGCCGTCACGTCGCGTACATTCGCCCCGGCAATTTTGACGGGGCGCAAGCCGAGTGGCCGCGCCCAAGGTCAAGAGAGAGAGAGAGCTATTGTACTCCCCGGAGAGCCGAGCGAGTAATACTAAATTGCGTGTAATATTAATTCTTTTTTTTTTACTATCTTGTATTTGTGTCGAGTCTGGATTGAGGCACCTCACCACCGAACACCGAAGAACAGGGGAGAGCAGCATTGCCTCCCCGCGACGGCTAAAAACGACAGCCGAGGGAAATTTATAAGAGCAGAGGATCCTGTCCCAGAGAGCCCTGCATCGTGAATCCGGACAGGGGAGAGCAGCATGGCCTCCCCTCGACAGCCGGGAACGACAGCCGCTGCGACAGCCATCCTCCAGGAGAGGATACGTCCGGGAAGGACTTCACCCGGGCCATATAAGGGCCCGCGACAGCATTTAGATTTGGCGCTATTTCGCGCGGGGCGCGTTAATGCCTCGCGTGGCGCGCGAGGCGCCGGGACCTCGCGCGTGTCGGCCGCTAATTGGCCGGGGGTCCGCGCATCCCCCTGCGCGGCCAACGACCCCGCCATCGACCCTGGATCGCGAGATCCAGGATCCAGGGCTCACTTTGCCGCGGCCGCTCGACTGAAGCAGTCAAGAAGTATATTGGGTGCTTTCCAATTGAGATATCCCTAGACACTTTTATGCACACGGCGACACAAGTCGCGTTCCAATTGCCGTAACTGCCGACACAACTTTACACATCCGTACTCAGCTCGAGGGCTACTAGTCAACTTGTGTAACCTTCTGTTTTCTAGGGACAAATGAAATATGCGGTTACAGACTGACGGCGATTATGTTGGCAATTTTCTTTTCGTTTTATCCTTTTTAATTAAAAGACAACCATTAAAGTACACCATACAAATACAAAAATGGACAATAAAAATATTAAAAGTATCATTGAAGTAAGTAATTCAAATTAATGAGTTTTTGTACAATTAATTTTTTTATTATATTTAATAAATAAAATAAAATTGTCTCTTTTGCATATTTGCAGGTTAGATATATTACTGATTAAATTTTCATTCATATTTATATATTAATATAATATGCATTTATATATTTTATTTATATATTATTTATATATTATATAATATTATGCATATATATACATCTATGTATGTTAATAACTTTGCTTCGAATTATTTACAGACTAATTACACAAATTTTACGTGTGCAACATGTTTTTCCCTTTTACCAAATGGAGAAGAATTGTATGAACATATTTGCTTTAAGGAAAAAACTATTTATTCGAATGAGGGCGTTATTTATTGTTTGAGTGATGATCAAGAAACTTTCATCGAATTTGATGCCTGTCTACACGCAATGGTCAATCCATTTTATATATCGATGCTATCACCCTCAGCATGGATTAAAAAATATCAAGATGGACATGGTTATGAAGAATCCTAACCCTCCACTCGAAAGTCGCACATTAACTTTGTTCCAATTGAGTCGTGCACATCGCTACACTTTGTGCCTTCCTGTGTATGTTTGTGTTAAGATGTGTTAAACAATTGGAAAGCACCCATTGTGTATTATCGTATGAGTGGGCTCGAGAACGAGACAGACCGTGAAGGACGAGACCGAGGATCATCCCCGCAGCCGGGAGAAGCCTTCATCGGTGAGGTTGCCCACGTAATTTTGTGCTCCGCGAGCGTGATTGTGTCCGCTCGCCGGCCGTTCTGTCGCCGTCGCCATTACGTTTCTCGCGACCGCTCGAGCCTTCTGCTGAGTCGGTCGATTTTGTGCATTTCGGGCGACAGGAGACAAGCGGCTGAGGAAGCGCGGACACTGGCGACGGAAGTGCGTATCGTAGGGTAATTCTCGTCTCTCTCCGGGTGTCAGGGTGCGTAATACGCGTAGCATTCGATCGTTGGGTATTGACCGCGTGCATCGTAAATCGCGAGCGATGCGTAGTTCGCACGGGCTGTCGTTTGGTTGTCGAGGCCGCGTCTCGCACCTCTGGAAGATGTCTCAGAGCGAGTCTGTGGAACGTAATTGGTCGTGATTAATGAGTCTTCGTGTAGTATCATCGTCGTTCGTGAATATTGCGTGAAACTGCGTATTATTGTCGCGTCCATTGTGTGCGTGCGAATTGATCGTCTCGAAAAAAAGAAACTTAATTCCTCGAAATTGTCGCGGTGTGCGGGTATCGCACGATTCTAAGTATCGATATCTGAGGTCAGGAAATTCCTGGCAAATATTGCGGCTATCGAAGGAGGCGCGGTGCGGGACTGTCGCCCGGCCTTCCTTATTGCCTTGAGACCGAGAAGATAATTAATTCTCACGCTGTTGAAGGTATCGGGGGTGTGACACAACATTGTCGCATCGCCCCGATTGCCAGAAAAATTTAAGTTGCGAGCGTCGCAGAAAAAGGCGGAAAAATCTCCGACCGCCGCCGGCTATCGAACTTCGCCGGTATCGTCCGCCAATCGTATGCGAGATCTCTCCTCGCGAAACTAATATCTTTTCGCTTATTGCGTAACTAATCGGCTGTCTTATTTCTGGGTTGTCGACTTCGAGTACGCTCGGAGGAAATTGCGAGATACGCAGTTAAGTAGTAAGATCTCCGCGAGGCTGTCGAAGCTGCGAATGATAGGCAGGTACTATCGCTCTCTCTCTCTATCGCGTATGGTACGACCGTTAGCGAGAATTCGAATTACCAAAATTCCGTTATAGAAATTATTGTTCTCAGGAGCTTCGACTGTAGCAAGCCTCCGTAATAGACGCTCTTTGTTAGACCGACTTAGAATATCGCGCGTTTTTCTAGCGTTTCGAGATTTATTGTCAGTTCGTGGCTAGTACATTATTTCTGTTTCCATTCTGTATCGAATTTTATTTCTTTTCTGTTAATACTTTCTTACTCTCTTAATAAATCTGTTATTTTTTTTTTTATTAAATCTCGCGTTCTTTATTTGGCTGGCGATCATCCGTGATTTCTGTGTCCGTCTTTGTCTGTCAATTTAGTAAGCTCGCTCAATCAATTAACTTTTTCTTTCAAACCCCGCCCCTCTACCGTTAGGCGAGCTAGCCAGCCCGTGGCGAAGCGGGCTGTCGTATCCTTTCGCGCTTTTCGAAAAATTCGTGAAAACTGGTACGTGAGAGACCGTGCCTGGCGCCCATTTCCGAGGTATCGGGACGGCCTTCGCTCCGCCGCGGCTCGCGCGCGGACACCCTCCATCCCTGTCCCGCTGATCGCGAGTACACCAAAACCCTTGTGTTTTTGACGGCGCTTCCGCTCCCCCGCGAGAATAAAAATTAGAATTGAAAAAGCGTCGCAATATATATATATAATATATATATATATATATATATATACACATATATATAGTATTAATATATAGTATTATACAGGGTCTACCAAAAGTGTGGAAACCCCTAAATATCTCGGAAAATATACGTTTTACAGAAAAGTGTTTCCAACAAAAGTTGTAGGGTTTAAGAAGATCTATATACTGATTCTATCAGTTTGACCTTGGATGGCGTCGTCAAGGTCAGGTCAAGGTCATATTGACTTTTTTAAATGACACCCCCTACATTTGATTGCATATTCTTATAGCTTAATTCAAGAGCTTTCCAAAACACTATAATAATGTTCATTTTTATTAAGTACTTTGCGAGTTATGAGGGTTGAATGATAGAGTAGCGCCGGTATTAACATTATCCAAGGTGTACTACATGGAGGTTACTCGCTCGGATTTGCATCTGTTGTGTGTGTGATCCAGCTAACTAAGGCAAGATCGGTCGTGGATCCAGTCAGCAAAAGCAAAGACCCAACCAAATTACAATCGAGCATTTAAAGACCTGGAAAGCAATCGACATAGTAAACAGTAAATAAATTTGTGGATGCTCATTTATCATAATAATTGTTCGAAATGTGTGCGTGTGCGTGCGTGCGGTGCGTGTATACAGAGATCAGGTTAGGTTGCACCAAACGATTGCAAATGTGTTTCAATGTGTTAAAGTAAATGCTGAAAGTGGCTGCCATTTACTTCCTGACAATATGCTAATCTTTGGTAGAATGTAGAAATGACTTTACGATTCGTTTCAAAAGGTATCAAAGCCATTTCATCCCTTATTCGCTGTATCAATTCGTGAATGGTTTTAGGTTTTGTTCTGTAAACCTTACTCTTCAGATATCCCCATAGATAATAATCAAGAGGAGTTAGATCTGGTGACCGAGGTGGCCAATCCTCTCCTCCCTCATTTCCGTTCCTTCTTCCTATCCACCGTAGCGGAAAAGTCTCATTTAAAATACGACGTGGTCCTGCACCAAAATGAGCAGGAGCTCCATCATGCTGAAACCATATTTCTTGGAAATTATTTGGAAAAGTATTCTGTATGGCTGGAATTATTTGATCAACAAGTAATCTCTCATACCTTTGAGCGTTCAAATATTCTTCAAAAAAAAACGGCCCTATTAAATAGCCATCTATTATTCCGCACCATACATTTATTTTTTGTGGATGTTGTGTGTGAGTTTCCCGCACCCAATTCGGATTCTCATCTGACCAGAAACGAAAATTTTGATTATTAACTTCTCCCGTTAAGGTAAAAGTTGCCTCGTCTGTGAAAACAATTTGATAAGGGAAGATGGGCCGGACATCTATTAGTGCCATCATTCTTTCACAGAAATGTATACGACGCTCCTCATCTCCGTTTTGCAATTCTTGAACGTATTGCAATTTATATGGATGGAACTTGTTCTTCTTTAAAATTCTCCAAACCGACATGGGAGCAATATCGTGAGTTTGAGCGACTCTCTGAACACTAGAATTGGGATCTTCAATAAATGTCTGCAGAACATCAAGTTGTTTTTCTTCGTTGGTTGCAGACAATGGTCTTCCTGACTTAGAGCGATTTCTTACGCTACCAGTTTGTCTAAAACGTTCTATTGTTTTTAACACAGTGGACTTATTAATTCAACGGTTCGGATACGTGTCATTAAATAATCGAACGACATCAGAGAACGATCTTTCGTTATCACCCCATCCACGCATCATGAGGATAGTGATTCTTTCACGTTCCGACAAGTCGCCAGCCATTTTTAAAACGTTTAATTTTAATTAATCGTACGTTGTATTTGGACGATAACAATTAATTTCTGCTTGCTCAAAGCTGAAGTTAGAAGGTGCTCGTTCTTTGATAGCTTTATACATTCTTAGTTGAATTTTAAATGCGAGTTAGACTGCATGTAGTGCGTCACATAGCGGTAAATGAAGGAACTAACGAGACGTTTCATACACGTTTTATGGAGCAATTTTTTGGCAATTTGACTTCAGCGAAATATGAGGATATGTTGAGGAATCGATCTTGCCTTAGTTAGCTGGATCACACACACAACAGATGCAAATCCGAGCGAGTAACCTCCATGTAGTACACCTTGGATAATGTTAATACCGGCGCTACTCTATCATTCAACCCTCATAACTCGCAAAGTACTTAATAAAAATGAACATTATTATAGTGTTTTGGAAAGCTCTTGAATTAAGCTATAAGAATATGCAATCAAATGTAGGGGGTGTCATTTAAAAAAGTCAATGTGACCTTGACCTGACCTTGACGACGCCATCCAAGGTCAAACTGATAGAATCAGTATATAGATCTTCTTAAACCCTACAACTTTTGTTGGAAACACTTTTCTGTAAAACGTATATTTTCCGAGATATTTAGGGGTTTCCACACTTTTGGTAGACCCTGTATATATACAGGGTGACCCATTTTAACTTAGGCAGCCAAATAACTCGAAAAATAAGCACACTACGAAAAAATGGTTAGAATCAAAATTTCGTCATTTCGAGGGGGACGTACAATGACGTTAAAATCAGCCCCCCACCCCTCCCCCTGGGCGGTGAGGGGGGGCAAGTTTGAAATCTTAAATGGAACCCCCTATTTTTCATTGCATATTCTTGTAGCTTATCTCGAGAGCTTTCCAAAACACTATAATTAAGTACCTTTTTATTAAGTACTTTTTGAGTTATAAAGCTTAAAATAATTTCTTAATTTTACATAAACCATAAAATATCTAGTAAACCATTCATTTTTCGATTATCTTACCTTCATACTTTTATGTACAAAATAATGAGAGGAATCAATTGGTGTAAAGAAAACATACAGTTGTTTTTAAGAAAAAATATGGAATTGTTAATTGCAAATTACATATTTTTTCTTAGAAACAACTATGTATTTTCTTTAGACCAATTGATTCCTCTCATTATTTTGTACATAAAAGTATGAAGGTAAGATAATCGAAAAATGAATGGTTTACTAGATATTTTATAGTTTATGTAAAATTAAGAAATTATTTCAAGCCTTATAACTCAAAAAGTACTTAATAAAAAGGTACTTAATTATAGTGTTTTGGAAAGCTCTCGAGATAAGCTACAAGAATATGCAATGAAAAATAGGGGGTTCCATTTAAGAAATTGAAGGTAACCTTTATGTGACCCTCAAATGATTATCCAAGGTCAAATTTTTGCCACCCATCTTCTGTCCCCTTCGAAGTCAAGCAACTTTTATTTGAAACATTTTGTTGTACATTCAAATATAAAAAAGTTATTGGAGTGGATCACTTAAAATGGCCCTGTATATATCATTTTGGATTTATATATATATATATATATATATATATATATATATATATAAGAATGTATTTGTTATTTTACGCGTGCGTACGTGCATGTGCGTGTGTGTGTGTGTGTGTGTGTGAGAGAGCGCGCGTGTGTGTTTAAATATATAAAATAATTATATCTCTCTATTTATCAAGCTATAATATGTTTCTCTCATATGTTTTATAGATATAAATGGTCTGCACGCAGAGAGAGGAAGAATGGAGAGCAGACGAGGAAGAAGTTCGAGAAGAGGAAGCAGATTTTTTAGAAGAGGAGGAGTAGGAAGAGGAAGAGGCCGCGGAAATATAATTTTTAATTTTTTTATAAATTTTTTTTCATTTTTTCTACTACAGTAAATATTTCTTCTAAAGTAAAGATATATAAGAATATATAAGAATAATATTATAATTTAATAAATTTATAAAATTTTAATAAAAGTCTAATTTTATTTTGTAGTATAATATTATATTTAGAAAACACTGATTATTTTAGTTATTTTATTTTATTATTTTATTGCACTTTAGAATCTTCACTACTATTATTTTATTTTAAATATGTTTTATCTGTGAACATGTAAGACATATTGTTTACTTTCTAAAATCACATTTTCATATTTGTAAAAATAACATTGTACAATATATATTAAAATATATATATAAAATAATAATATAAAGTTATATAGAGTGATTCTGAACAAACGTTTATCTCTAAAATATCAAATTCTTGAATGAATTCTAAAATGATTTTTCCTGTTGAAAAATTTTGCCCAGAGTTTAGTTTTTAAACTATAAAGGAAAATAGTTAACTAATTACGGAACGAGTACGAGAAGTAGGGATGGCGCGATATAAACGATGACATGGGGCGCTCGCCGCGATTAGCTGATTGCTACACTCATCCATCACGTATAGCAATCAGCTGATCGCGGCGAGCGCCCCACCCCAGTGAGAAATGTTGATCGAATCGATGTTGAATTGATGTAGATTCGACCAACATTTCTCACTGGGACGTAATCACTTATATCGCGCCGTTCCTGCCTACTTCTCGTACTCCTTCCGTTATTAGTTCTAACTATTTTCCTTTATAGTTTAAAAACTAAGCCCGGACAAAATTTTGCAAGAGGAAAAATCGTCTTAGAAATCATTCAAGAATTTGATATTTTAAAAACAACAAACATTTGTTCTGAATCACACTGTATATATTTATATGTAATTTTACACACAATAATCTTGGTGTCAATTATTAGCTACTCATAGAGCATTTCCAGGAGACGCCACGTGGAGGCCAATTGGCCACATAACCCGAAATTCTTAAAAATATAAACATAATATTTGCTAATAAAAAATATAAAAATGTTAATGTCTTACATTTAAAATTAATATATAAAAAATTATGTTTTAATTTTAAAAAATTCCGAGTTAACTGTCTCCCAATTTATTCGATTCGCCATAAGGCCACGAATTTTTACATATTTTATACTCGTTCCGCATTAAATGCCGCGAGTAAATGTAAAATAGTCAGATCGTACCGCTCGAAGAGCCGCGATCGTTTTACTCGTTCCGCATTAAATGCCGCGAGTAAATATAAAATAGTCAGATCGTATCGCTCGAAGAGTTGTGATCGTTTTATATACGTAGTAATGGTGATTTTACATATATTTTATGTTCTTTAGTTTTTGACATTTTGTCTTTATTTCTTTTGATCTTCCAGATACTGTATTTATTCCTTCTTTTCTTCCATAGTTATTCTTTTTTGTAATTGCATATATCTTGACTTTTAACATAAAGTCTAACATTTGAATTCTATGTGAATAACACTCGTTGATCTGATTAAACCAATTTTCATCAGTATGCTGGACGTGTTTAACACAAATCTCAAGGAGCTTTTTCTTCACATCTTTGAAATACCAATACTTCTTGTAACATCAATTTATTGCTTCAAATTGTAGAGTAATAATATTCAAAAATGAATCCCTTGGTCTTGATAGCCATTCTATTTCAGGATCATCTTCGTCTTCATGTTCATATTCACGTAGCTGAATATAGATTTCATTGTTGTTTAATTCTTCCATCGGTTTTCAAATTTTTTTCACGACAGCTGTCACACTTTGTATTATTGTAACCTTAGCAAGCAATATATCCTGCGAAATATGAAATTGCATTTCTTTCATATGCCTCTGAATGTAAATTCTCCTTGTTGGTCTTTGTTATTTCATCTAAATAGTCGGAATTCTGTTCTGAATATTTTGTAATTTCTTCAAAGGCTGTCGCGATGAGATTATCACAGTCGTCATCTATTTCAGTTAAACAAGTTAATTCTTCTTGTAATGGAATATTGTTATTTTCCATTTCACCACGAACTACCGATGTACCATCCGTTAATGGAAACGTTTCTTGACATGTTACATTTCCTCTGTCGCTTCCATAAATATATCCACTTGATAAAATATGCCGCAACGTTAACCGTACTATTCTAGCAGTTGGATTACGGTTAAATCCTCCGCGTCCTCTAATTTTTCCAAATGTATGTTCTACAGAATCTTGGTTGCATAGTGCAGTGGCAAGCTTGAAATCCGGATAATGTTGTTTAATGGAACGATACATTGATAAAATTGATTTCACGGTCGTAATCATTCCATCAAAGCAGGAAGGTCTCGAAATCTTGTTGGGAGAAGTACTCCACTTTGAACACCATTCAACAAAAGACGTTAATAATTCTTCAACCATTAAATTATCATCTGATAATGGACCCTTTTCTCCTTTCCAATTATTTAAATGATAGACATTCATAGCATCTATTACTTTATTCATTTTGTAAACAAATTCTGCAGATGCTTTCCATGAAGAACTTTTTAATGTATTGCTTTGCCCTGCTGTTGATATTGCTGCAGCAAATCTTGCACTTAACATTTGAAATGCTCTTTTCACATTCATAACTTCAAAATTGTTTGGATAAAAATGCGCATAGGTAATGTGATTCAATAAATTTGAAGTATTGTATTTAATTGTCTGTCAATTTGCCATGTTGCAAATAAGTCATGAAAAGACATAATAATTTCGCCATTCACATAAATGTACTTATGAGATCTTAACTGGCTAATCAACCGCTTGATAAGATGAGGCCAATCAAAAGAAGAAAAATAAGTTTCATTGTTCAATTGAAAAGACGTGGAGAAATTTTCATGTGGAGAAATTTTCCAAATATTAAAAACTTTTCTATTTGATCCACCTTGGTCACATGTAATTATCTGCACATTTGCTCCTACATTTTTCAATTTTTGTAAACACATCTCGGTGAGTTCAATAATCTCCTTATGTGTTGTACTTTTTCTAGTCAAAAAGTATGTTACTATTTGCCGCCAAGGATTTTCCGCATTAATGCTATCAAGGCAAAATAGTAGAATATGTCCCGCTGGTTCATCGCGTCGTCCCAGGGGTCCGAGATCTACTAATCCTTCGATGATATCATATTTTCGACTATATTCTTCAAATTTTTTAATTGAACATCTCATCGAATTTTAAAGCCAATTCTTTGAGAAGGTGGTAATTTAGACAAATTTTCTCGAATTTTATAAAACATTTTTTTGCAAAATCCTGGTCGAATTTTTATTTCTTGATATCCAATTTTTGACAGAAGATTCTGATGGGAGATTTAGTCCAGCCTTTCTCATCCATGAATATCCACTTGCGGAATAATAAAACATTTGTTTTGCTAAATCTTTTTCTTCTTTTGTATATTCTTTTCGTCTCTTATGAAACTGAAGTTTTATCATAGTTCTTGCAAGTGGTTTTAAACATTTCTTTCCATTTAAAAATTCATTTAGACTGTGTTTGCAAACGGTCTTGTTTTTCCGAATTGCAATATTGCGATGTTTCAACATATATATATATATATATATATATATATATATATATATATATATATAAGAGTCATATTTTTTGTTTTCTCTTCCTCTCCATAAGAAGTTTTTTCAGTCTCAAATTTTCTTTTTTTAAATTTCTTTTTTCAATTTCGGAGAATTCATCTTCATTATACACTTTTTCAGAAGCAGACTTTTTTTGCGTTTTTACTCGCCTTTTTATCATGTTGGCTTTCACTTCTTTCTGCGAGTAATTATCCAAAAATAGTGGAAGTGAATTTTCATTATTAAACCACCCATCGTCTGTGAAGTCATTTCCGAAATTGCAGAAAAGTTCTTTTCCGGAAGGGTAACATCTCTTACATGTCGCTATTTTTTTTGTAGCTACTTCTTCATTTGTATTGTTATTTTTGATTTCTTCAACGTTTACTTGAAAATCGGCATGCGTTTCGACTTCCATTGAAATGCAGTCTTGATTATCCGAATGGTTTACATTTTCTTGTATAATATTTTCATTAATTCTGCCTTCTTCTGTAATTTTTTCAGCATTATCTTTCACAAAATGTGAAATCTCAATCTCCTTTGGGGTCCATGGTATAGGATTCTTTCTAATATGTAATTTCGTACAGCTTATAAAATCTTCTTTATTAAAGTGGTCTGCACATACTCCTGCTTTTTGTATTGATGCTGGGGATCACTTAAGTAATTTTTCATTACCTGTTTAAATATAAATCTACAGTTAAATTTATACACTAAAAAAACATTTTAACCTTTAACCATTTCACATAAAACCAAATAGCAAACAAATTCATAAAAATGTTTTTAAAAAGTTTAGAAATCATTTTTTAAAACATTAAAATAGTTATGTAACTTTTTATTTATTAAAAAAATTTTAATTTTAACATTGAAATAATGTTTTTTACATGTTTCAAGAAAAATTACTTTTTAAAAATTACTTAAAAAATTTATTTCACATTTGACACTCCCACGATTTTTATTATTAAATAAAAAGACATATTTATACTTAAACAATATATTTTTAATATTTAATGATTTATTTTTAATGTCCCTTGTAAATAATATTTTTTATATATTTTATACTTGAAATTTCAAAATCTTTTTGTTTGTTATAAGACCTAAAGAAAGACACATGTTCGATCAGTGTCAGTAAAAATAGTAATTCAGGGATCCTAGGTTTCAAACTTGGACTGTTAAGTTTTTCTTAGTTTTTTAATTTAAAAAATTTTTTAATTATTTTATACATGTAATATATGTATAATTTATTACATAAAAATAAATACTCGGCAAATATGTATTGTTAGATACGCATATATATTTCCTTATATATTTAAAATACATAAAATGAACGTAATATAAATAAAGTATTTTTATAGAGTAATATTTTTAATTTTTAAAGATGTAATAAATAATTAAAAAAT